CGCAGGGGGGGGGGGGCGCCTGGTCTGGTTGGGCAGACACGTGGCCCAGGTGGTGTCTGCGGGCGCCCAGGTTTGAGAAGCACGGCCCGCACTGCCGTCTCCGATGGGGAGGGGTCGGACAGGGGTCTGAGCCAAGTGCCACCCATGAGGCCCGTGGGGCTGCCAGGAGCAGCCACTAAAATACAGACTGCTGGTTGCATGTGAAGTTCAGACAAACACGAGTCATTGTCGCCTGTAAGCTGGCCCCGTGCAGCACTTGGAACAGAATTGCAGTAACACCGTGTCCCGCGTTCATCTGAACTCTGCTGTCCACGAGCACTGGTCCCGGGAGGGCTCTGGGCCAGGCCGCCTCCCCGCTGCCCCCCTCCGCGCCGCCGCCCCCTCTGGGGCGGGGAGGACAAACATTTATCATCACTGCGCTGCCGCTGCCGCTGCCGGAGGCGGTTGTCACAGCTCCGTCTCGGGGCTGCTGTTTCACAAGGTGAATTGTGTTTCCGATTGATTGTCTCAGAATCCTGAGGCGAGGGCCAGCCTGGGGTCAGCGAAGGGAACAGGATGTGGCATTATTTCTGCCACAACCTTGGGTGGCTGGTCCCTGCAGTCCCTGAGGGGCAGGGGCAGGCGGTGGGTGGGCAAATGAGCTGCCAGCCAAAGACAGCGGAGGAGGGCTGCCAGCAGCCCCTCTTCCAGAAGCCAGAGGGGGTGGGTGGTTGTCGGGCTCGGGGTGCTCGCTTGCTAACAGGTGTGCTGGGGCCCAGGGCATCCCTAAAGGTGCCTGGATTTTCTATCACAAATCAAACCTCCCTTGTCTTATTGTAAAACAAACTGATGGTGGAAGTCTTCCCCATCGAGCTTCTGGCTTTACTCGCTAGGATAGCAGAGACAGACATCGCTGTCTGCTCCCGGAGCCCTGAGCAGCCCTGAGCCTGGGGTGGAGTGATCCACCACCCGCCCGCGGATCCTGAGAAGGGCCCCCTTTCCCCACTCCCTCCTGTGCCCTTCCGGGGCTGTGTTGGACTAAATGTGACTGACATTCAGAGCCCAGGGGGACCCCAGTCCGTGTCCGGTCCCAGAACAGCCCTCACTGCTGGCCCAGCTCCACGTCCTCACTTACGCTGGTCAGGGCAAGGGCCGACGTCCGAACAGAGCCCAGCATGGCCTCTGGAGGCCGGAGACTCCCAGGGCCTGGAACAGGTCCCCGTTCCTTCCCTGTCAACGTAAGTTCCAACCCCAGGCTCACCCGGGCCTGTGCACAGTACAGAGGAACCCGCCAGGAAGGGGTTGTCCCGGATGCCAGGCTGGCGAGGGCTCCAGGTGGTTCCCACGGGAAACCAAGGGAGGGTGTGAAGGACTGACTCGGCTCCGAAGAGCCTTTCTAGGGCTTAGGGTGCTCGTCTGGGGACATCAGCAAGCCCACATGGGGCTGCCCACCCCGTGTTCTTTCCCACCCTAAGCCCCTCCATTTACAAACCCCTCTTTGGTGTAGCTGGATCAGATGGGCTCAGAGGGTGCGGAAGGCCTGGGATGGGCCTGTCCCTTTCGGGACAGATGTGCTTGGTGGTCTGGGGCCAAGAGCGCCCTCCCTCTGACCACAGCCTTCGCTCTCTTTGTAAGCAGATAGCCAAGGCCCCCTGAGTGACCCCTGAAAAGGGAACCCATTGGCTGAGTGATGGGGAAGCTGAGGTGGGAGCCTCAGGCGTGGAGACCGGGGTGGAGGGAGTTGTCTGGAGTCCTGGCCACTGTTTGACTGTCTCCTCTGTGTGGGTTTGTTCTTGGGGAGGCTTCCTCTTCTGTGGCCTCAAATCTTTGGATGTTAAAACAGTAAAGTCACCTCTGGGCCCGGCCTGGGCACCATTGTATCCCAAACAACTGTTTGCAGAATTAACAATAAAACACATACTGTGACTCCCAGTGACACAACGTTACCAGATCTGCACCAATAGGGACGCCTTCCTGCCATGGATGGACCTGCCCCCTCCCTTTCTCGTAGACACCCATCGCCTTTGTCTCTTCGTTGGAGCTATTCGGGCTTTTGCCCGAATTAATGACTTCAGAATAGCTGTTCTTCTTGATGTCGATGAGTGCTGTTGCCTCTCCCTCTGAAAGGCCTTTTGCTGTAGCTTGGCACTAAGTACAGGCTAGTGAATGGGACCTGATGCTCACCTGGCCATGCTCACCGTCAGGCAGCGGGAGTCTGGGGAGTTACCCGGGAGCCTCCACTCCTATGTGGAGGGAGGGGGACCTCTGCCAGGCCTGCAGCAGCCTGCACTGGCCCGCGCTCGTCCTGCGACTCCCTGAGTCACACATTCCCTGCCACACTGCCCAGCAGCCAGCTTTCCAGAAAATGAGCTCCCAGCGCTCAGGGCAGACCTCAAGCAGTGTCCTCCCAACCAGACCCGCCTCACAGCCAGACCCGCCTCCCCGCCACACAGCGCACGCTCCAGCCCTTCTCCTGGGGAGGTCCCGGTGGCTCCCCACCCAACCCAGCCCAGACCAGTTTCTCGAGCTTCCCGAGAAAAGATGCCTTCGTATTACCTTTTCTAAAAGGGCTCTAAGTGGAATTCCTGCTTCTCTCACCCCTTATAACTGTGTGAGGTTGTGTGCTTTAAATTTTTTAATTAATGTCACTTTGAAATATTAAATAGCAGAGAAACCTACAAGCAGCAAATGAAGTCCAAGAAACCTTCATCCATATAACTCGGGCTCTGCGCTTAAATAGATTATTCTATTAGTGAGCCCATTTATTTATTAATTTATTTCCGGGCTGGCGGAGGACCCCCGAGATGAGCACAGGGCCCCATGCACAGATGGCGCGCACACTTGGAAGTCGTCTGAATATTAAGAATTTAAATCTTTAGCCTCAGTGATTTGAGCAGAAAGCCAATTATGGGGCTGAATTAGTTTTCAAATTAAACTGCAATTTGAGGCTTGTGAAATTAATCCTTTAAGGCGCCTGGCAGTACCTACAGGAGCCCCTCGGAGGCCCAGCCCGGCCTCCTTCGTCCGCGGTGTGACTGATAAAGCAAAGTCCGGAGCCAGCGCCCCAGCGGGCAGAGCACTCCGTTCCCACGTCCTGTCTCACCTGCTGAGAAAGACTCCCCCTCTCCTTCCCCTGCGCAGAGGCTGAGGGCTCCCGGGGCGGGCACCTCCCGCTTCCCAGCCCAGACGACCGGGTGGCCTGGCTGCGGTGACCGCACTTGCTACCGCACGCCCCTTCCTCAGCAGAGCACGTGCAGGGCCCTGCACAAATCATTCCAGGTGGCCTAGCACTGCCCACCGAGGCCTGTGGCATCCGGGAGCTGGGGGCTCATGGCTGTGTGTGGACTCAGACCCACCAGCTGAAGAAGGTGAGGGGCCTGGAGGGGACCTCGGTGCCAGGGTCATGACTGCCCAGACACAGCCACCCTGCTCAGACCCCTGTGCCCTGCTCACAGGGGGCTCTTCCGCTCTCCCCGTGGCCCCATGAGGGACACCTGGCTTCCAGAGGAGGAGCCCCTGGCTCTGAGAGGCTCGGGGACAGGTGGGCCAGGTCCTGGGAGAGACAGAGCCAGGATCTGGCCGGATGGAGCACCCAGCCCCGCTCCAAAGTCTCTGAGGCCACAGAAAGGTCTGCCTGCCGCCGGGCTTTGTTGGCCGGCATGAGCCTGCCTCAGCCTCAGCCACTCCCTGTGGTGGTGGAATGGAAACCCCCAAAATCACGTCCACCCGGAACCTCGGATGGAACCTTTTTCAGAAAAAGGGTCTTTGCAGATGGAACTAGTTAAGATGGGGCCGGTAGGGTGGGCCTGAGCCCCCGTGGCTGTGTCCATATGAGAAGAGGCGATTAGGACGCTGATACTGAGGAGATGGCCATGTGAGGACAGGTGCAACCGCAAGGCAAGGACCACAAAGACGGCCACCAGCAGAGGAGGCCACACCCAGCCCTGTCCTGCGGGGATGTGAAGCGGGCGCATCGTAGGAGTTCAGTAAACAGGTGTTGAGGACTCACCCGTTGCCGCCCCCAGGGGCGCCGGGGCACGACAGTCTGTGACCTGCTCCTTGGGGCGAAGTCCTAGATGTGGGTTTGCAGGTGGGCACATTGGAAGAGCGTTTGGACACAGACGGCCAAACTGCTCCAGGACCTGAGGCTGTGGGGGCAGGTCCCCACCAGTCGGTCCCATCATTATTTTAAAATTGTAT